TTGTAGAGACAGAGTTTCACTTTATCACCCTTGGTAGAGTGCTGTGGCATCACACAGCTCACAGCAACCTCCAACTCCTGGGCTTAGGCGATTCCCTTGCCTCAGCCTCCCAAGTAGCTGGGACTACAGGCGCCTACCACAACACCCAGCTATTTTTTTGTTGCAATTTGGCCGGGGCAGGGTTTGAACCCACCACCCTTGGTATATGGGGCCAGTGCCCTGCCCACTGAGCCACAGGCACCACCCAACCTGCCCCATTTCGACCTGGGCCAGTTAACCCCTCCTTAGGCTACCTAGTGGCCCCCACCACCCCACCCCCACTCCCGGGAGTTCACCATATTGACGCCGAACTTAATGTGGACACCCAATAGTGCACTATAGCCCAGAACTCCTGGACTCAAGTGATCCGCCTGTCTCAGCCTCCTGAGTAACTGGGACTATAGGCTCGTTCCACTGTGTCTAGCACCCATCTAGTTTTTCTATTTTTAGTAGAGACTGGGTTTTCCTCTTGCTCAGGCTGGTCTCAAACTCCTGAGCTCAGGCAATCCACCTGCCTCAGCCTCCCAGAGTGCTAGGATTTCAGGCATAAGCCACTGTGCCCTACCTTTTTCTGGCTTATTTTAAAACAACTTCTAGTATTATACCATTCCACCCCCATAAACTTATATGCATCTCTTAAAAAAATAATATTTTCCTACATTATCATACCTAACAAAATCAACAGGAAATCCTTTATATAACCTAGTATCCAGTCCATATCCATTTTTCCCTCTTTGGGCTAAAAAAATGTGATTTTAAAAATCACTGGGTGGGTTAGGCATGAAAGGCCTAGGCAGGAAGACCCTATGAGCTCAGGAGTTTGAGACCAGCCTGAACAAGAGCGAGACCCACTTTCTAATAAAAATAGAAAAAATTAGCCAGGTATTGTAGTAGGCACCTATAGGCACAGCTATTCTGGAGGCTGAAGCAGAAGGATTGCTTGAGTCTAGGAGTTTGTGGTTGCTGTGACCTGGGCTGATGCCATGGCACTCTGGATTGGGCAATAGAGTGAAATTCTGTCTTAAAAAGAAAAAAAAAAGTTGCTTGTTCAAATCAGGTCCCAAATATAGTCCCATCATTTGGTGATTTGGTGTTCTCTCTCTCTCTCTCTCACACACACACATATATACATTTTTTGGGGGGGGGCATTGAAATCCTTTCTTGGAAGTACAATACAAGAACAGAAAAGTGCACATGACTACAGTTCTAGGAGTTATCACAAAGGGAAGAAGCCACATAACCACTAAGTCTATAAATAGAACATTACCAGTACCCCTAAAGCTCCCTTGTACCCCTATTCTTGGGCGTATTTTTTGGGTGCCCTCTTTTAACCTTGATTTTTTTTCCCTTCATAGTATATCCTGGAGGTCACTCCAGGATAGTCTATAGAGATCTTTCTTATTTTTCATTTATTTACATAGTAGTTGATTGTGTAGATAACATGGCATTTATCCAACCAGTACTTACTAATGACAACTGAGTTGTTTCTATTGTTTTTTCATCACAAAGAGTGTTGCAATGAACAGCTTTGGGCTTACATCCTAGCAGCGAAGTTGCTGGGTCAAAAGATAAATGCATTTGTTGTTTTGCCAGACACTGCCCAATCTCTCCGCATTGCACTTGTATATTCTTCATTCCCACTGGTAACACATGAAGAGTGTTCTTTTCAAAATAGCCTTGTCAACAAGTGATACTGTTGAATTTTTGTAATTAGGCGAAGTTACAAAATAAGCTAATTTGACAGGCAAGCACTAGTATCTCAGTGTAATTTAGTTTGCATTTCTCTTCATGGGAGCAGAACTGAACATTTCTGATGTTTTAGTGCCATTTTAATTTCCTTTTCTGTGAACTGATCTTTTGATTATTTTTCTACTTTTTTTTTTTTTAAATTGAGACAGAGTCTTACTTTGTTATCATTGGTAGAATGCCATGGCATCATAGCTCAGAGCGACCTCAAACTCTTGGGCTCAGCCAGGTGCTGTGGCTCATGCCTGTAATCCTAGCACTGTGGGAGGCTGAGGCAGGTGGATTGCCTGAGCTCACAAGTTGGAGACCAGTCTGAACCAGAGTGAGACCCCATCTCTACTAAAAATAGAAACACTGAGGCAAAAGGATCGCTTGAGCCCCAAAGTTGGAGGTTATTGTGAACTATGATGATGCCAGGGCACTCTACCTAGCGTGACAGCTTGAGACTCTGTTTCAAACAAACAAACAAACAAACAATTGGGCTCAGATTTCCTTTTTAGTAGAGATGAGGGTCTCACTCTTGCTCAGACTGGTCTCAAATTCCTGAGCTCAAGTGATCCACCCACTTGAACCTCTCAGAGTGCTAGGATTACAGGCATGAGCCACTGAGCCTGGCCTTCCATTAAATTCTTGCCTTTTCTTTATTTTTAGGACCTCTTAATTATTTTTCTTGATGGGAAATTGATTGTAGATAAGGCTTAAACCCAAAATTCAAAAAAGCACTGGCTTTGGTGAAAGACACACTGCAATTCAAATCTAGGTTCCATCAATATACAAAGTCTCTGCCTTGAGCATGACTTTTAACCTCACCGAACCTATTTCTTTGTACACATTCAGAGAGCTATTGTGAAGCTTAGAAATACTGCAGGTGAAGAGCCTGACATATTGTATGCATTCAATGTGTTTAGATTTCTTTTTCTGTCTGTTTATATCCTCAACCCATGTTTTTTCCCTTACCTGGAAAAAATTAAATTATCTTCTTATTGATTTGAAGGAGCTCCTTGCATATTGTAGATATTAATGTTTGGGTAGGTCTATGGCAAATCTTTCCTCCAGGTTTGCTGTTGACCATTTATTTATTCAGTAGCTATGTGCTGAGCACGTCTTGTGTGCCAGGTGCTAGGAATAAAGTGGCAAGTGAAGCAGATGCAGTCTCTACCATTGAGTTACTTTTTTTTTTTGAGACAGATTCTCACTTGGTCACCTTTGGTAGAGTGCCGTGGCGTCACAGCTCACAACAACCTCAAACTCTTGGGCTCCAGAGATTCTCTTGCCTCAGCCTCCCGAGTAACTGGGACTACAGGCGCCCAGCACAAGTCCAGATATTTTTTCGAGATGGGGGTCTTGCTCTGGTTCAGGCTGGTCTCAAACTCGTGAGCTCAGGCAAACCCCCGTCTCTGCCTCCCAAGTGCTGGAGCCCAGCCCACAGAGTTACTTCTAATTGGACAGAAAGTGAAACACAAATTATAATAGCTCAACATTCAGTCCACAGTGGCTCTGGCAGCTCATTACGCCGCCTGTCTAGGCTCCCCGCCCTCTGTCCTCCTGGGTCTCCAGTCACCTGGCAGAGAAGGGATTGCCCGCTCCCCGCAGGGGCTGCCCGGCATTTACAAGGTCAAGGCATGAAAGTTGCTGTGCTGGGCTTTCGATCTCCCTTTCCCCAAATCTTCAAGACCTCGATTGCGTCCCGGATGGTCCCCTTGGCTGCCACCTTGTGCAGCCACTCCAAAGGACTTGCGGCCGCGGGCATCCTTCTCAGCACCGCGCAGACCCTCTTCCCCACCCGGCCGGCACGCGGCACCGCCTCACTGCACTCTCTGTTCACCGTCTCCTACCTCAGGATCCTCCCACCCCCGCGCTCCATTGCCCCGCAGCCGGAGAGCAGCCTAAGTCCTTCCCCTGCCCTGTCCCTGCGAGGACCCCTTCTCCTACTCCCTTCCAGTGGCTGCCCGACACACTGTCCTGCACATCTGGGGGCCCCAGCGCGGCCATCCCGGGCGCTGGCGGGGTGTGCACGGCGCTGCCGTCTGTCGCTGGCTCAGTGAGTCCACTGTCTCCCAGCCAGCCTGTCCCCGGAAAGCTAAAGCTCGCATTCCCGAGCCCGGTCTCCAAATCCGGTTCTTTACCCTGCCCAACATTGGCAAGCAACCGGCCTGGGCCAATAACTAGGAGGACGGCTGGGCCGTGTAAGTCGCAAGCAGCAAGAGCTTCTGAGAAACTGACCGAGGCATCCCTGTGCTGTCTTCTACTGAGCTCTCCGTTAGCTGTGCGGGGCAGCCTTTTCAAGACATGGACCTGTTGGCCGGCACCATGTCTAGGCCTGCCCTCCCTGCCAGAGAGAACTGAATTGCTAAAACTTGATTTCCTTTCATTAAGTGCTCATTCATCCCAATTATGTCTTTGTCTGATTAAAAAAAAAGTTATGAAATAGTCTAAAAAAAACTTTTGGTAATGAAACTATTAGATGAATCCAGAGGATAGGATGTCCTATGAGATAACTAGCCTGCTTTGTTGTTGTTTTGAGACAGTCTTGCTGTGTCACCTGGGCGAGAGTGTAGTGACCTCAGCCTCACTCACAGAAACTTCAAACTCCTGAGATCAAGTGATCCTCCTGTCTCAGCCTCCCAAGGAACTGGGAATACAGGCAGTGCCACCATACCTGGCTAATTTTCCTATTTTTTGTAGAGACAAGGTCTCCCTGTGTGGTCCAGGTTGATTTCAAACTCCTGGCCTCAATCAATCCTCCTGTCTCGGTTTCCCAAAGTGCTAGAATTGCACGTGTGATCCTTTGTACCTGGCTTGGCCTACATTCTTAATCTGTCAGTGTTATTGGGGGATTCTGTAGGAAGATGGAAGGACCATTTTCTTTCTAGATTAAAATAGACTGAAGAGATGTTAAAATGATTTAAAATGTGAAACTTCGATTGGATTCTAGTTTTAAAATATGGCAGAAAAAGGCATTGGGGACAACTGAAAAAATTGAATATTAAAGAGAATATTGGAGTATTAATTTTAGAAAATTATCATACATCTCCTTAGATAAGATAACAGTATTAGGGTCATGTAGGAAATGGCTTTTTAGAAAATGCATGGGGTATCTGTGTCAGGATATTTGTAACTTCCTTTCAAATGATTCAGAATAAAATATGTGTGCAGATTTAAAAAATGGAAAAATGTTAACTCTGATTGAATCTAGAAGGTAGGCTCGGAGCCTGTGGCTCAAGCGGCTAAGGCGCCAGCCACATACACCTGAGCTGGTGAGTTCCCATCCAGCACGGGCTTGCCAAACAACAATGACAACTATAACCAAAAAATAGCCGGACGTTGTGGCGGGCACCTGTAGTCCCAGCTACTTGGGAGGCAGAGGCAGGAGAATCACTTGAGCTCAGGAGTTGGAGGTTGCTGTGAGCTGTGATGTCACAGCACTCTACCCAGGGTGACAGCTTGAGGCTCTGTCTCAAAAAAAAAAAATAAAAAGAAAAGAAAAGAAAAGAAAGATTCTTCTGGAGTGCCTGTGAGAATGGATTACTGGAGGGGAAGAACAGGTTATAGGACATGGTGTTGTCAATGTGGGTGCTGATGGCTGGTACCAGGAGGCGACGGTGGGTATAGTCCTCCATTTTCTGGCTGCTAAACTCACTCAGTGCTGGGGAAAGTGCTATTTGAGGAGGGGCAGGAGACCATCATGGGGTGGGTTGGGAACAGGTTTGGAAGGGAACCAAGACTTCAGTTTTGACTTGATTGGATTCATGTATAAACTTCTCACTCCAACTCTGTATGTACTATCACTAATTCCATTTTAAAAATGAGGAAACTGAGCCAGAGAGAAATTAACTTGCTAGAGTTATAAATCATAGAGCCAGAACTAGTGACCTTTCCATTTTCCACTCTTTCCCTCAATCCAATCATTTATCTTCTCATTCATCCCTCTTCTAATCATTCATTTTGTTACCTTCCTATTTCTCCATCCACCACTCCATCTCTTCATCAATTCGTGCAATCATCTACCCATTCTCTCATCTCCCACCCTCCCGTAAATATTTATCACGTGCCACGTTCTTCAGGCATCTGACACTTGCATGCAGGAAGGAAAGTCAGGGATGAGAAGGCATGAGACACATACTGCATGCAGCTTTGCTGAAGATATTTATTTACTGCTCACACATTTGGCCTTGATGGCTCAGGTAGGGGGTGCCCTACCCTGCTCTACCCCTCTCAAATATTGCAACCTCCGGGGCGTCAGGTCCTGAAGTCTTCATTCCCAGTGGATGACTGATCACACATAACTGCAAGAGACAGAGAAACCTGGCACCTGCTCTTGCAGACTAAGTGCCCACCCTGACTGCTCCCGTCCCATGAGGATTCAAGGGTCCTTTCCCCAAGAAGCCTTGTTTCCATATTCCGTTTCTCACCATGTAGAGAAGTCCTGTGCTCTCCATTTCTCCATTGCTGTCTTCCCATGGGAGTCATTGGTCTGGTCCCCGTCATAGTTTCCACAGGCCCCACACAGCTTTCCAGCATGGGTGTTGGTGACCATCACAGCCAGCTTCCCATTGGTTCCAAGCCGCACCTGGACCCCTCCCTTCTGGTGGACTAGCGTGGAGCCATCCAGGGTCCGACTCAAAGACACAGATGTTAACACTTCAGCTGGGAGATCTACTTTGAGACCATTTACCTGGTGGAGGTGGGCAAACACAGAGGTGAGGCCAGAGCCACAGAACAGTTGGAGTGTTACCAGGGTGGAGATCCCAGGCAAGGAACTAAATCAAGGACGTAGGAGCTGAAAGAGATGAAGACTAGGATGGATGCACCATATGGAAGATAGATACATGAGAAGATAGCTGGGTCATCTTGGAGCCTTCTGGTAAACAAAAAAACCAAACAAACAAAAAAAAGAAGATAGCTGGAGAAATGGGTGAATGGGTAGAAGGATGAAGAGTGGAAGGATCCACAGAACATCCTAAAGTTGGGGAGGGAGGGAAGAACTTTGTACCCAACAGGTAAACAAACAAGTAATCAACCCCCAGGGTTTGGTCCTAGTTTTCAAAATAAAAGAACACTACGGCATGTCCTGTAAGTTATTGATTCCCTTACAAAAGCAACTTTCTTATTTTTACAATACTGATGTCTGAAGATAAGTAATGACTTTAACAAATATAATGATCTTGGGAGAAAATTATTTTTTTCTTTATTATAGGCTATAGACCCAGTAACCTTCTAAGTTTTTCTTTTAAATAACTATTAGCTACTTTAGTTGATGAGTTATTCCTTCTAAAGTTAGACTCCCATGGCGGCGCCTGTAGCTCAGTGGGTAGGGCACTGGCCACATTCACAGAAGCTCACGGGTTCCAAGCTGGCCCAGGCCAGCTAAACAACGATAACAACTGCAACAAAAAACCAGCCAGGCATAGCGGCAGGCGCCTGTAGTCCCAGCTACTTGGGAGGCTGAGGCAAGAGAAATACTTAAGCCCAGGAGTCTGAGGTTGCTGTGAGCTGTGATGCCATAGCACTCTACCAAGGGTGACATAGTGAGACTCTGTCTCCAAAAAAAAAAAAATCAAATAAATAAATAAAGTTAGACTCCCTAGTGAAACTCCTTTGAAAGAATTCTCTCTCTCTTTTTTTTAAAGTTTTTTTTTTTTAGAGACAGAGTCTCACTTTATTGCCCTTGGTAGAGTACTACAGCATCACAGCTCACAGCAACCTCCAACTCCTGGGCTTAGGCAGTTCTCTTGCCTCAGTCTCCCAAGTAGCTGGGACTGCAGGTGCCTGCCACAATGCCCAGCTATTTTTGGTTGCAGTTTGGTCGGCGCTGGGTTTGAACCCGCCACCCTCAGTACATGGGGCCAGCGCGCTACTCACTGAGCCACAGGCGCCGCCCTCTCTCTCTCTTTTTTAAAATGCTCTTGCATCTGGGTTTTCTTCTGCCAGATGAGTGGAGAGATAGATCAGTAGACAGGAAAGATAGGTAGATAGATCTGAAATGGATGGGTGGGTGACTGGGTGGAAGGAAGAAAGAAAGGAAGGGAAGGAGAACAGGAGGGATGGGAGGAGAAGGAGGGAGGAAGGGAAGAAGAAAGAAATATGAAGAAAACAGAGAGGTGGGACAACAGATGCTGGAAGAAAGGATGGACACAGTAAAGGATAGATGGACATAGTGGGTGGAAAGTCTCTCCAGGCTATAAGCTTTGCATGTATAAGAACCGGCATGACTCAGACTCTTGTCTGAGTCATCTGTTACCTAGCACATGGCTTGGCACAGAGGAAGCAGGGCTGAGTTTATCCATAAAACTAAACTTTTCTTGGGTACCTTTTAGGTACCAAGCCCTAATCCAGTACTGGGAACAAAGTGGTGACCAAGATGGCAGGATCCCTGTCTACCTGAGGCATATATTCTAGTGATGAAAAAAAGGTGCTGAAAATCTTCTGTGAGTTTCCTTCTGGGAGTTCAAAATTTTGGTAGGTGTTAGCCAAAAGGTACTGATATGAATTAAACCCCCTGGCACTGAGACTGTAATGAGCTGCCCCGTAGACAGCATTTCACATGTTTTGTTGCAACTTACAGCTGGAGGAATTAAGTATGTCCTGTGTGACTCCACTGGGAAAGGACTTTTGGAACCTTGCACCTGGTTTCCTCCCGACTTTGTGTAATGCATCTTTTCCCTTTGTTGATTTTACTTCTTATCCTTTCACTGCAATAAATCTTAGCCATAAGTACAACTATATGCTAGTTCTGTGGGTCCTGGGGGTGGTGTTGGGGATTATCATGTGACCCCAGCCTGACCAATCGCAACATGCTATCCCTAAGGCCACAGTGATTGGTTCTAGGGGTGGGAATGTGACCCAAAGTGGCCCAGTGAAATATAATCTTGAGTTTTTCTGCTAAGGTAGCTAAACTGGTGGGGTGCAGGCCTGGAGCTGCTGGGAGGTTGTCTTCACCCCTGTGAGGGGAAAGCCATTTAGGAGTGAAGTCAGGCTCCACGCCTGTAGCACAGTGGTTACAGCGCCAGCCACATACACTAAGGCTGGTGGATTGGAACCCGGCCTGGGCCAGCTAAACAAAATGACAACTGC